CTGCTCAGGGCTCATGCTCTCTCAAAGTGTTCGGAACAACAAGAGACAAGGATGATGTTGGCCATGTCACTAAGTGATTTCTCTTTAGGACCCCAAGCCCATGATTTAAATGCATAAATGATCAGCCCGGTTCATCAATAAGCTGAACTGATTGGTCATTTTAATCCCAGCTGTGGCTTTTACAAGCCCACCCTGCAGTGACCTTGTTTTGGATGAGCCGCAACCAGATCACGATGATTTGGGGGAGAAAATGGAAGCAGGTCCTTGTCATTTAAACCACCGGGTGTTGCATCCATACAGTGCTGCTCTCATGATGAGATTTCTTTCCTGACTTTGTTCTTTCTTTCTCTCCTTTCTCTGCCTTCCTCCAGTGATAAAGAACAGTGAGTATTTTATGCTACTATTTTATTTCTCAACCAACTGGATTATATCTCTCTTTGTTTGTTTGTTTGTTTGTTAATCCTCATTTAAGGATATTTTTCCATTGATTTTTAGAGAGAGAGAGTGGAAGGGAGGTGGAGAGACAGAGAGAGAGAAACATTGATGTGAGAGGGACACATCGATTGGTTGCCTCATGCACATGCCCGACCAGGGCCAGGGATTGAACCTGCAACCTCGGAACATGCCCTTGACTGGAATAGCATCCAAGACCCTTCAGTCCACGGCGGACACTCTGGGCTGACACTCTAACCACTGAGCAACCGGCCAGGGCTAGCATTTCTTTTCTGATCTAAGTGGCTTGCCCCTACAAGACAGATGGTCGGAAAAGGAACTAGCACATTTTATATATCTAAAAAAGAAATTTAAGTGGTTTTAAAAAAAACCACCCTTTTGAGAAAAAGAATTATGAAATTTCAGAAAGTATGTTGATGCAAGGACGGACAGCGTTCCCTAGGGGAGCCCTCAATTTCATTCTTGTGGCGTTTCAACAAGTTTAGTGACCACTCAGTGCCCCGTTTCCACAGCCTTTGCCTGGGAGTTCTGTTCCGACATAAAGAAAATATTAACTGAAACAACTGCTTCCATTAATAAAAGGTGATGAGCAGGACGGAGCTCGAGGGAAGTCACGCGCTATGCATGCCGTCCCTGCCCCCTCAGGGGAGGTCGCCCGATTTCCCGGTGAGCTGCCCTTCGCGCAGAGGTCCTCGCTCTGCTCACAACCTTTGTCTTTTCAATGGGATTCATTTCCCAAACAGGCATGACCGATGGGATGCCGGGTCCAACCAGTGAGCAGTCGGCTGCAGAGCAGCAGGGCGCTGGTGGTTGGGAGCACGCTGAGAACCCACGGGAAGGGAAGGCGTCTGTCCTCCCCACGATGGGGAGTTAGCACGAGCCAAAGGCAGAGCGCGGGGTCTGGCGTCGGAAGACCCAGTGAGTCCTGCTCTGGGACTAGACGTCGATGGGGCCGTGGACATGCCTTTCACCTCCCGAGCCCTGGCTGTCTTCCCTGTAAGACAGGCAGGGTAACCCTGTCCTTCCTCCCTGACCAGGTGGATGTAGCATCCAATGAGGTGCACCGGAGAGCTCCGTGAACTGTGAACCACACTGACCAGAGCGGAGGGGGGGGGTTTGGGGGGGTGGGGGGGGCCGGATGGACTGTGAATCACAACGTTGCCTTACCCTGTGTGCTGTATATATACATTATCCATGCATATCCATACGTATGTTTACCTTGCGTGTATATTTGTATTTGTATATATACAGTGTGTATATATATCACTTGCATAATTTGTTCAGCTCTTTTGGACCCAAAGGACCACATCACTGGGCCCAAAATCCTCTAAAGGTTTTCTTAACATCGATCAGGTGACCCCAGGAAGTGACTTCCCCGGTTCTGTGTCTCAGTTTGTCCATCTGTCAAATGGGAGCTTTAGACAAGTTGATGGCTAAAGGCCATTGGAATGTTCTACAATTTCTGTTGTTGGCCAATAAGACTCTGGCCAGACTAGATCTGCTTCTTATGAGTCTGGTGAGTGTATTATTCAGACATGCCAGGGAGAGATGTTGAGACATTGTCAGATTATAGATATGAATATCACAAGAGAGAAGCTCATGACTCCAGAGGGTCTGGAGGCTCATAGAAGCTTCCAGAATACAAGAGTTGAAAGGTAGAGTCTATGACAGGGGTGGGCAAACTTTTTGACTCGAGGGCCACAATGGGTTCTTAAACTGGACCAGAGGGCCGGAACAAAAGCATGGATGGAGTGTTTGTGTGAACTAATATAAATTCAAAGTAAACATCATTACATAAAAGGGTACGGTCTTTTTTTTTTTTAATATATTTTATTGCTTTTCCACAGAGAGGAAGGGAGAGAGACAGAGAGTTAGAAACATCGATGAGAGAGAAACATCGATCAGCCGCCTCCTGCACATCTCCTACTGGGGATGTGCCCGCAACCCAGGTACATGCCCTTGACCGGAATCAAACCTGGGACCCTTCAGTCCGCAGGCCGACGCTCTATCCACTGAGCCAAACCGGTTTTGGCTTTTTTTTTTTTTTAGTTTTATTCATTTCAGATGGGCCGGATCCGGCCCGCGGGCCGTAGTTTGCCCACGGCTGGTCTATGACCATACTCTTTCACTCCCTCCTCCCCTCCTTTCTCCCCCCTTTCTACCTTCCTTCCTTCATTATCAAATATTCACTGAATGTCTACTACGTATCAAGCACTCACTGTCTTAAGCACCGGGAATACAGGGATAGCCAAAGTATGAGTATGTGTCTAGCGGGGTCTACAAACAAATAAACAGCCAGTCCCCAACAAATATACCCCAGTGTGCAGTCATGGTGGGCCGAGCAAGCACAGGAGGGGCATCTAGCGCAGTCTTGGGCATCATGATGGGGGAAGTGAAATGTAAGGTGGGCCCAAGTGAAAGTAGAACAAGATGAAGAAGAGACAGATGAGTTCCAGGTGGAGGAACAGCATGTGCAAAGTCCAAAAGTGAGAGAGCATGGAATTTTAGCAGAACCAAGTGGAGCTCAGTCTGGCTTATCAGATTAGCAGGAGCCTTAGATTCCCTTAGCATTCTGAAGAGGGTTTGGGGGGACCCTGGCTTCCTTCTGCACCCCCTTTAGTCTGGTGGGGGCAAATTTCATCTGAAAGGACCTTTATACCTACAGGGCATGTGGAAAACATTTTGTGGTGTGGCTGCCCTTCCTTCCCCATCCTTTCCTCCAGGATCCATTAAAATCTCATTCACTGAGTGTAAAGCGGCTTCCTGCTGACACCTGCCTGTGCAGGCATCCTGGGGGAGGGGAAGGGGTGAGAAGAATAAAGGAAAGAAAAAGGATTAATTTTCCGCACAGCACCACCGTGTAATGCTTCAGAGCCTCGGTGCCCCAACAGCACTTCCATCATCGCACTCCTTTTGGGAGTTATAATTTGTTAAAAGAGACATCTGGTGGGTATTTATTACGTGACTATTGTGTGCATGAAATAAAGAATTAAGGCGGGAGGCAGACAGGAGGCGGGAGTCTGCCCTTGGCAGATATTTAGGGAGAAACATCTGTGAGGGGCTTCCACCTGGAGTCAGGACTCATTCCTTTTGTATTTGGGGCCACTGGTGGAGGGTTCCTTCTGACTTTCTCTCGATGCACCTGAGCAGGTACCTTCAGGTAGCGATCAAGCAGGTCCAGGATGCTGGTTTCTTGAGCCCCTGAGCGTACTTGCTCCACACATGTTTCTCGGCCACTCCCTTCCCTCCTCTGAGGGGCAGGCACCTGGAAAATGAGCAGGTCAGTTGCAGTGATCTGTAGGCTTTTGTTAGCAGTGAAACTCTTTGATTAATATTTTATTCCGAAGCTAAATAGATAAGACAGGTGAGAGTGGCGCTGGAGAAGGGCCTTTAGTAGCTGACAGCATTAAATACATCATGGTGAACCTTGTGCAACTGTAATTTAAAATAATACCAAACTGCAAAGTAAATGTAGGGAGTCTAGCAAGCTTCTCATTTGTTTGTTGTTGTCATAGTGGGCACTGTATCAGCTAGCTTTTGCTGTGTAACAAACCATCTTAAAACTCTGTGGTGTAGAACAATTATTTGTTTCCAGGAATCTGGGCTCAGCTGGTGGCTCTGCTGATCTTGGCTGGACTCGCTTATGTGGCAAAGGGTTGGCTGATCTAGGATGGCTGTGGCTGGAATGACTCAGCTCTGCTCCACAGGCCTCTCATCCTCCAACATTCTGTCCTGGGCTTGCTGTCATGTCATGGCAGAGGTGTAAGAGAGTCATCAGAGACACACAGGCTTTTTCAGATTGACAAAGATTCCCCTCTTCCACACAGGCTTTTTCAGATTGACAAAGATTCCCCTCTTCCTCCTCCTCCTCCTCCTCCTCCTTTTTCTTTACAACATAATTCTTTAAAAAGATACTTTCAATTAGCGATGGGTGCAATGAAGGAAATGAACCTGGACAGTGAGGGATCAAGGAAGGCCTTTCTGAGTTGACTTTTGAACCAGATTTGAATGATGAGAAGGAGCCATCCATGGGGATATCTGGGGGGATAAGTCTTCCTGGAAAGGGGACAGCAAGTGCAAAGGCCCTAAGGCAAAAACAAGGTTTCAGTGTTTGAGATTGATCAGGGAGGCCAGCGATGCCGGGGTGCAGTAAGGGGGTGATGAGGATGGAGGCAGGTTAAGGACAGATCAGGTGGGACTTTGCAGATGGGCAAGAAGACTGACTTTTATTTCTACCAAGGTAAAATCCACAGGACATAAAACCAACCATTTTACAGTGTACAGTTCAGTGGCCTTCAGCATTATCACAATGTTGTGCAACCTCTATGCATTGTGGGGTTTTTCAAAGTCAGTGAGAAGCCCCTGGAGGGTATTGAGCAGAGGGGGTGAGCCTGTTTAGCATTTATTTGTTCATCCCCAGAGGCCCTGGCTCCAAGGCAAGGTGTGTTTCCACCAGAATTTCGCCCTCCTCCCCTTTCCTGCTTCCCTTCACTTTCAATCTCTTCCTTCTCTCCTAGTACAAACCAGCTAAGATAGGAGGAAGGCAGAGGGTGGGGTCGGGGGGGTGGAGCGGGGTGAGGAGATGGGGCTTTTGATTTTTAACATTGAGTGTCAAAAGGCAATTTCATGGCTGCTGGTGAGAGTGGAGCAGTGGAAGTAATAGAGGCTGGCAGCTAATGGGGTGCTGGCTCTGGAGGATTCTAGTTACTATTCCCCCCCTAACAGGGACCAGCATTTCTAGTGTTTAACCCTGCATTCCACTCGGGTGATGCCCCAGTGCCCGGGGGCGTGGACCGTGTCATCCGTGGAGATGATCATAATGTGCCATAGGCCTCGGCTCTCCATCAGCAGCCTCTGATCCTCTGCACCGTCACTGGGGCCACGCGGGCGGGCACTCGGTCCTCTTCATACTGTGGAGGTTAAGTGCACAGGCGGCCCAGGTTCGAATCTCACCTCAGCCACTTCCTGGCCACGCAATGTGGGGGAAATGGTCTAATTTCTCCATATCTGAGTCTCCTCACCAGTAAATGTTTGACAATCCCTGTCTTGTAGGGATGATGTGAGGATTGAGTGAGGTAGTGTGGTGCCCAGGAGGTGTCCGTGTTTGCTTGTTTAAAAAAGCCAAGAAGAGCACAGGATGGAAGTTAAAATGCTCCAGGAGCTTCTGAGGCTGGAAATCAGGATGTTTATGTGAAATCAAGGGGTTTTTTAAAGCCTTGTTGGCAACGACTTTAAATGCGTTATTTTTTAAATCTGTACCTCGAACCCAACATCTTTGTGCCAGGCAGGGGCTGGGGTCTACCTGGAGCCCAGGGCTTCTGACTGCCCTCCCAGAATTGGCTCCACTCCGGCAGAAGTCTGCTGCTCTGGAACCTTCTCCTGAGAACACCCTTGTCCTCCAGGTTTCCGTGAGCTTCCTGCAAGTGTGTGCTAAGCACATAATGAGACTAAACCCATTGCACTGATGAGCAAACTGAGGCTCTGAGAGATATGATTCTTTAGCCCAGAGTCTCCCAGCCGGGGAGTTTCCCGGCAAAGGTGTGAACTGGGGGTTTACCCGACCCCAGGGCCTGGGGTCTAACCACAACTCCACACTGCCCACTGGGTTTCCTGTCCAGCCTCACGCCTTCCCAAATTACCTTTCAGGCTCCAGGCGGGCTGGTCCGTCCATCCCGGTGGTCAGCCCGACAGACAGAGGAAGCAGGAAGAGCTGACAGATGAGGAGAAGGAAATTATCAACAGGGTGATCGCCCGGGCCGAGAAAATGGAAGAGATGGAGCAGGCGCGGATCGGGTGAGGCCTGACACTTCCCATCCATTCCACGGTCCTGGAGGCGGGGCCTGGAGGCTGCGCTGCTCAGGGCAGGGGTGCTGGGCTGGAGGGGGGCTGCCTTTGGGCCTTGCCATCTATGACCCACCAGGCCACCCACCCAGGAAGAACTGGAATCTTTGTCACATGAGGTTGGAGAGCTGGAGGAGGAGAGGGTGGCGGGGGAGGGGGGGCGGTTACCTGGGGAGGGGGCTTTTTCAGAGGGGGAACAGGGTTTTTCTGATGGGGAGGAAGGAGAGTGTGGGCCTGTGCCTTGTAGGAAGAGGGATATGTGTGTTAAGGATAAACCCTTGGAAGCAAGAATTCCTCTCGGCCTTTTTCCTGAATAGCACTTAGCACCAGCTAACATATTTTATATTTACATATTTACTTTGACGATTGTTTATCTCTCTCTGTTAGATAAGGTTCCCAAGGGTAGAGATGCTTGCCTGTTTTGTTCACCACTGAATCTCCAGAGCCTGGTACATAATCAGCGTGCACGAAAATATTTGTTGAGGGAATGAGCGCATATGACAGACAGTGCTGCCTCCTCATTTCCCTCGCCATCTCCTGTGGCCAAGACGCTGGAGGGTTTAGAATCTTGTAGTTCAGGGTCCAAATTCCCAGGGAAGGCACTCTGATTGGCTGCCTTATGTCAGGTGCTCTCTCTCGTCCAATCAGCTGTGATGCCCATCTCATACGAACATGGCCATTGGCCTGACTCTGGGGGTCAAGTTAAGGTGTGGGGCGTGTCTCTGTGGCCTGAGAAGGTGCTAGCTTGAACATCCTAGAACAGGGTAGATGGGTTGCCTGCCTGTCCTCCATGTCTGGTGATTTGCCTGGACTAACCTGGTGACAGGATGGAGTAGCGCAGTGGTTAACCACTGGGCCCTAAAGTCAAAGACCTGGGCCCAAATTCCAGGCCGACCACTGACCCCTGTGTGACCTTAAGGAAGCCATTTCCCTCCTTGTGCCTCGGTTTCCTCCTCTGCAAAGTGGGGATAACATGAGCACATCCTTCTCAGCGAGTGTTTGACATGCGACGGATTCATGCGGTGCCTGGCGCAGAGCACCCACTCATTAAATGGCGGCAGTCATTTATCAATGAACTTGGTGTGGAAGCTCAGGTTTGGTCACTGGCCGAGGCCTCTGTTCTAGAATTTATGCCCCGAGACTCCTGCTTGGCAAGCCCTGGAATTCCAGCAGCGGGCTTTCGTGGAGGGAGATCGGGGAGGCTCCCAGGGAAGCTGGGCCGAGCCCTTGGTGGCCGATCCTCCCTTTGCTGAGACGCTGTGTTTTCTGCCCGGGTGGGGGCGGCAGTTGGGGCAGGGATTCTGGCTGCGGCTGTTTCCCCGCACGCTTCCAGCAGCAAGACCTCGTTAGAAGCATCGCCAGAAGCAAACCCAGTGCTATTTGTGTCTGAAGAGCTCGAACCTGCCCTCGTTCCAGTTCTTCCCACGCTTCCCTGGGAGAGGATCAGAGAGGAGCCAGATAAAAGCAAAGCGACACGTCAGATGCGGAGCGAGGCTGAAACCGGGGTGCCACTGGGGCTCCCACTTCAGAACCTGAGGTTCCCAGTGAATAAGCTTTGGGAGCCTCAGCTTCTCCACCCTCAGTGAAGTGGTCAGTCTGATTCTCAGGACCCTCCTGATCAGACTGCGTGTTGGGGTGTTTGCTGGAGTGCTCTGGACCCTGGGGTTACCTGCTCCCTCTGAGCGAGTGAAACTCCTTCTAACTCTGTTAAAATAGCAGCTGTTTCTGTGCCCCATTCTGGGTCCAGACACCCATCTCTCTGGTGCTGAGTCCTCTTCCTGTTACCTGAGTGAAAGCCATCTAGAGAGGTGTGAAGTCACTGTTGATACACATAACAAATAATCATCATACTGGGTACCATTTATTGAGCACTTACTATGTGCCAAACCCTGAGCCTCAAAACGTCATATGGCCCGGCCAGTGTGGCCTTGTGGTTGAGCATAGACCTATGAACTAGGAGGTTATGGTTCCATTCCCGGTCATGGCACATGCCCAGGTTGCGGGCTCTATCCCTAGTGAGCGGCGTGCAGGAGGCAGCCGACCAACGATTCTCTCTCATCACTGATGTTTCTATCTCCCTCTCCCTTCCCCTCTGAAATCAACAAATACATATATATCTATATATATCTATAAATATAGATATATATAGATCTCTCTCTCTCTATATATATATATATTTAAAACAACAACAATAATAACAAAACATCATATGGATTAACCCTTGAACTACTTTTCTCAACCCTGTCAAGTAGATGCTATTATTATTACTATCCCCATGTTGCTAGTGAGGTCAGGTCCCTTGCCTAAGGTCACATCGAGTGAAGATGTACGTCCTGCCGGGCTGGCTCTCAGAAGTATGCGCTCAGCTTTTAGGTGTCTTTCCTGAAACTCTGACCCAAAATTTCTAGACTGCGGTGCATGGACGTTTGAAAGGCTCGGGTCTGAAGGGGACACGTTGGGAGCTAGAAGCTGCAGCTCCTCCTATGCTGGCCCTATGCCTTTGGGATCTATTGACCTGTTTGTGCATCCATAGCTGGTCTCCTGCTCCTGTGGCTCTGAGAGTTCCAGGGAGACTCGCCCTCGGGCCTCCCAGGAGGTGCTGTCTTCCTGGGGCAGCTTTGCTAGAGTCAGGCACCCCAGCAGATCAGAGCTGGTTCTCTTCCAGAAGCCTCTTTGCTTCTGCCCAATGGGGTGTCTAAACCTTTGGTCACCACTCAGCCCACAACCCAGCTCTGCTGTCTTCAGCGCCCCCAGAGGGGAGATGATGGCCAGAAGAGGGGAGACTCATAACCGCCTCATCGTGCCCCCACACCCCATATTCAACGGCTAAGTGGGACGACAGAGTTTATTTTGCACGCCCTGCCTGCTACAGGCTTTCTATATTCGTTAGGACACTTGGCTTGCTTGCCAGAAGGGGAATTAATTCCAGCAAGGTGGTTCAAGTTATCTATGGCTACATTAACAAAGCACCCTACCTTTAGTGACTTAAAGCAACAACAGTATGTTATTTTTGACCATTCTGTAGTTGAAGAATTCAGGCAGGGCTCTGCTGGGCAGGTTTTCTGCTCCACATGGCATGGGCTGGGATTGCTGACACGACTGCGTTTGGCTGGTGGCTGGGCTGGAAGGTCCAAGGAAGCTTCATGCCCATGTCCATGCCCATGTGTGCTCTATGTGGTCCCTTTCGTTCCTTGTTTGGTAGTCTGGCCTGAGCTCCTTTACATGGGAGGTGCATCCCAAGAGATCCAGGGTTCTTAACAGCCGGGTCTGAAACTAGTAGGGTATTAGGCAACCATATTCTATTGGAGAAGGGAAATGGGTCCCCTCTGCTTGTGGAAGAATGACTTAGGCATCCATAGGAAGGCATTAATGGTGGCCACTTTGGGAGACTCTACCACATTATACAACAAGGGGAATTTTAATATAAGGATTCAGAGCTATTTCTAGGGATTTGAGGACAGGAGCACAGCCTAGCCTCATGAAAGGTCTGCTTCTCATCTCACATGGTAGAAAATATAGCCATGCGATACCTCCCCAGTGGTTATAGCTTTTCTTAGTCCTAACTCCAAATTCCCAGGGAAGGAACTCTGATTGGCTCAGCTCACTCTGAGTGCCCACCCCTCATCCAATCAGCTGTGGCCAGAGGTGCCAGGCTGCATAGACACTGAGGACTTCTCCTGAGTGTGCAAAGGGGCTTTGTGAGTTGGACACACACCCATGAGGTGTCCGCAGAACCTTTATGTGTATTAAGGCTGGAATGAAACATTTGCTTGGGAAAATTTGTGTCTGCAATTTTTGGTTAAAAAACTCCCCCCCCCCAATGGTAGGACCCTCTGCATCCTTATCATATTTCTTTCTGCCCGGAGCCTCTCAAAGGCATTTGCTCACAGATCCTGCCTGTGATGGGACAGGCAGCCGGGTGGCTTCCATTCGAGGTCACCATCCGTAAACAGATGGGCCCCCAAAAAGTAATTAGGATTTGTCATTAACCTTGGTGTCCAGATGCTGTGATGGAGGAGGCAGTCAGAGAGACACAACCTGTTGTTGACAGGATCTGCTGGGTTCCTATCACCTCTCCATCTCTGTTCCATCATCCCCTGTATTTTTGGCACAGAATTTTTCCAAAATGTGGACAGCGGGAGAAATGAGTAATAGTGCTTATTAGGTAGGTGTCATTCCTGTGGTTTGACACGCCGACAATAAGCAGGTTATTCTCTCCTCTTTCTAAAGGAAGAACTCCCCACTTTTTTGACCTGGAGTCAGGCCTTCTGTGGATAGGTTTCAGGGGTCCTGGGGGGTATTTTAGACACATTGATGCATGTGTCTCTGTGCATTTTTTAAAATATATTTTATTGATCACACCAGGTTTGGGGGGACTCTGAACCCCAATGTTGAAACTGCTGAGCAGCACCTCCACTTTCTCAGGGATTGGGCCAATGCCTTCTCATGTGCTACAGCCTGTACGGAATCTGCTTGTGCAAGAAAGTGGAAATCTGAATTCGTCATGAGTCAGTGTCTGGCATAAGAGAGAGCATGTGTTCAATGAACCCTCGACCCAACTGTCCAAGCCTCTCATGGAACCACTTGAGTCTCACGGTGCGAGGTTGGACTGTGTGGTCTCCAGGCTCCTTCTACCTCGGCACGATTGACATGTGGGGACAGATAATTCTTTATGGTGGACTGTTCCGTGCATTGGAGGGTTTTTTTTAGCAGCGTCCCTGACCTTCATCCACCAGATGCCTGTAGTAACCCCATCCCCAACCAGATATGACAACCAAAACTGTCTGCAGACCGTGCCACCTGTCCTCTGGGGGGCAACAGCACCCCCTTTGAGGACCACCGCTCTGGCCCTTTTGTTAGGTTCACAAAAAAGGGAGAAGCAAACTTGGGATTTCCCTGCAACCCTCCTCGGCTTACCATGATGCTAGTTCACATGCGCAAAGCTTTAGGTA